CTGCATGCTATCGCACAGTAAGACTATATCGTCTGCATACTCGAGGTCGAAAAGTCTATCTCCAGGTAGCAGATCTACACCACCTTCACGCACATCCTTCAGAGCTGACTCCAGAATGTCATCGATGGCAAAGTTAAAGAGAAATGGAGAGATTGGGCAACCCTGTCTAACCCCACTGTTGGTTGGGAACAGTGGTGATAGTTGGTTGTATGCCCTCACTCTACCTGAGGTGTTTCTGTATAGGGCTTTCAAGATGTTAACAAATTTCTCAGGTACACCTCTCTCTAACAGACAGTTCCAGAGCACAGTTCTGTCCAACGAATCGAAGGCAGCCCAAATATCAAGAAACACAACGATCGTTGGCCTGCAATACGTGTGGCGGTGTTCCAACAACTGACGAAGGGTGAACACATGATCAATGCATCCACGACCTGAACGAAACCCAGCCTGCTCTTCGCGAATCAATCCTTCACGTATTTTGCACAGTCTGCGAAGCATGACAGCAGCCAATATTTTAGACGCAACTGGTAACAGACTGATACCCCTATGGTTGTCACACGAATTACGTCGACCTTTTTTAAAGATGGGGACGATAATGGCTTCGTTCCACACTGATGATACGCTCTCTGTCTCCCACACCCTCCTGAACAACCCAGTTAGAGCCATTATGAGAGCCTCGCCACCATCTTTAAAAAGAGCCGGGGGTAATTTGTCTGGGCCGGGCGCCTTACGGCGTTTCAGAACTTGGAGTTCCTTACGGACCTCCGCTTCGGTGGGTGGGTCGGTACTAACCGACCAAGGGGCACTCGGGCTAATGATTGTAGACAATGAAGCTGGTGACCAGCTGAACTGCCTCCCGAAGTGCTCTGCCCAGCGTTCCAGGCGTCTCTTCAGGCTGGTAATTGGAGTGCCATCTGCCTCACAGACCGTCTCACTGACACCTTGTTTCTTGCTGTCGGTGGCTCGTATGAGTTGGAACAGCTTCCGACTGTTGCCAGATGCAGCAGCTGACTCCATCTCATATGCACGTTCTAAAGGTAGATTCAAAGGTAACAGTGAAAGATGAATGACAGTGATTGTTAAGTCACTAGTAATCTCAAGTAATTCGAATGATCCAGTGATTCACGACAGTAACCATTGCTAAGCTAAGTCATATCTGTTGTCAAAGCTACTGAAACTGCTCTGTTGTTCGGATGAAAACTATCAAATCGGGGCTACAAACTATCATAGTTATTGTAAGTGCGGTTAACACGTATAAAGTAAGTATGAGAAACACAAGGGCAACACAAAATTACATATAAATATTTGTTAGTGGTGATGCATTGATATTAACTCACCGATGTCGATGGTATTGCCAAAGACACTTCTTAACATAACTGGTACGACAATCCGAGTTGTTCCCTCATTCGCCAAATATACCATTAACAACGGTAAACTTGCAACAGACGGAAAAACAATTTTGTGTCTCCATGGAAGATTAAGAGCATCATCGGCGAAACCCAAGAATATCATACAGCATATTGACAGCAGACCAGCAAGAAACTGAATGAACTGCAGATATGAGACAACGATTAAAATAATTATTTACCTGACTTTTGAACATAATCTCCTGCTGCTCTCCGGTTCTATTAAAAGGGCATGACTAAAGAGTATATGATAGATAAGAAGGCTTTACTTCAATTATCTGACTATCCCCTTTGCCGAAAAGGTATTTCCAAAACGGAACAGGTATAAAGATGAACATAATGGAGAGGAAAACGACGCCACATATTACCCCCTGAGCCTCGGGACTTAGAAAATAAGGAATTATAAAGAAACAAAAAATTACAGCGTTGGTTTAGTGGGCTTATTCATATCAATACCAGAGAATCCAGCTCGAAGAAACTCTCCTTTATATCTTCTGAACAGTCTTATCACACATTTTAAGCCAAATATGGACATCAATACAAGCACAGAAAGTTCGAACACATGCCGATAGGTACTAAAAAAGTACACTTCGGGTGCTGGTCCACATGTACCGTCCGCAGACATTATACCCACGTTAACTCTGAAGAGTAGATGTACCGTTTAATTTCACAATTGGCGGGGAAGAGTATGCACCCAATTACCTGCCATTGGAAGTAACAAATGAAAACGTCACTTTAATATTTAATGAGTAATTTTAAGCTTTTTTGAAAGAAAGACTTGCAACTGCTAGGGCCAGACACTGCAGCTAGATAATTTAAGCCCAGACAACCAGATTGTCAACCTTACACCATGAAATAGACTTTAGAGACTGGTTTGGTATATCCAGTAACAGCATCTATAAGAAATCTGGACACATTTTAGCCAGACAGATGTCCCACTTTATAACGGAAGTTAATATCTGGCACATAAGACCAGTTCTCCAACACAAATACATAGTGAAAGTTTAACGAATTGACGGCTGACACAAAGCCATCTGGCCGAATGATCAGTCCTTTATGGTTGTAGATAGGCTGCTTAGAGCACAAAATCCCATTCACTATAAGTTTCTGTCTAATGTTTATATTAACACGGAACTTGGATATACTCATTATTCCAGACTATACAGTCGGTGGGGTGATAAGTAACACCTGAGGAAAGGAATGTAAGTGTTAAACTTGGACACAGTGGTCTATTTAGAAGTTTGTTTGTTAGATATATCACACAGTAAAGCAGTGTTATATACTGGATGGCTTTTTAAGCACAATTTATTGCACATGATGAAGATATTTATGAGTTTAAAACTTCGAAACTTTCGTCTTGTAGTTTGCTTTATGCGCTGCTATTCGTCGTAGGCATAATAGAATTTTCCAGATATCTGAGACAGGTATTCCGAAAACGGCTATCATCACACCTTTCGGACTTTTCGAATTCCTACGTATGCCATTCGGCCTCCGTAATGCAGCACAAACATTCCAGCGCTTCATCTATGAAGTATTTCGCGGTCCTGACTTTGTATATGCATACTTAGACGACTGCCTCATTGCCAGTCCAGATAAGGAAACTCACCTTAGAAACTTGGACTTGGCATTTGAAAGGTTACGCCAACATGGTGTTACCATCAATATCCAAAAGTGTCAAATAGGCGTTGACTCACTCGATTTTCTGGGTCACACTATTGACTGTCAGGGCATTCGCCCACTGGCTACTAAAGTCGAAGCGATACTGAACTTTCCGGAGCCAAAGACAGTGAAAAGTCTCTGCACTTTTAACGGCTTGGTAAGTCGCTACCGACGGTTTATTCCCAACTGTGCCTCTCTGATTCAGCCATTGACAGACCTCCTTCGAGGGAATAACAAGTCTATCGAACTCGACGCGTCTTCTCGACATGCTTTTACTCAGGTAAAGAAAGCTATTGCTGATGCCACACTTCTCAAGTATCAGGATCCAACGGCACCGCTAAGTATCTCAGTTGATGCATCAGACACTGCAATCGGTGCAGTCCTGTAACAGCTAGTTAACAAAGAGTGGCAACCACTCCCTTTTTTCTCGAGGCGCCTTCAATTAGATGAAACGAAGTACAGCACATTCGGAAGAGAACTTCTAGCTATGTACTGTGCTATACGCCACTTTCGACATTCAGTTGAGGGTCATGAATTTATAATTTTCTCGGACCACAAACCTCTGACGTACTCTCTGAACTCAACCTCAGATAAGTATTCACCCAGGGAATCACGACAACTGGATTACGTTTCACAGTTTACATCGGATATTCGCCATGTATCCGGAGTGAACAACACTGTGGCAGATGCCTTGTCGCGCGTCTGTTCCATCACCCAAATCGATGGCACAGACCCTGTAAAACTGGCTCGTCTTCAAAAAGAAGATACCGAGCTTCAGCATGGGTTGTCGAAAACAACTCTACAATTAGCCGAGAAACCCTTAGGTATAGGAAAAGATACTGTTCTCTGCGACATTTCCACTAGTACTCCACGCCCTATCGTGCCTAAAAGTTATCGCCGTAACGTCTTCATCACGTTGCATAGCTTATCCCACCCAGGTATTCGAACTACCGTCAAGCTCGTAACTAGTCGGGTTTGTTGGCCTGGTATTAATAAGGAAGTAAGGGAATGGGCACACACGTACTTAGCTTGCCAAAAGTGCAAGGTAATAATACACACCAAAAGCCCCCTAGGCACCTTTCTTATCCCCGATGCCCGTTTCGAACACGTCCATATAGATTTAGTTGGCCCCCTTTCAGAATCTCATGGATATACCCATTTGTTAACCTGCATCGATCGCTTCACACGATGGCCTGAAGCAGTACACCTCAAGGATATATCTGCTGAAACCTTCGCACGCGTCTTTGTAGACAGATGGATCGCAAACTTTGGATGCCCATCTTCCATAACAACTGATCGCGGGCGGCAATTCGAAGGCGGTTTATTCTTCGCTTTGACTAAAATCCTTGGTTGCATGCGTTTTCGAAGAACAGCCTACCACCCACAAGCTAATGGTATGGTAGAACGTCTACAAAGACAGTTGAAAGCTGGTTTATCAGCTGCAAATAACACCCATTGGACTGAATCCCTTCCGTTATTTCTCCTAGGGATACGAAACGCCTTAAAAACCGATGCTGGTTGTACTACCGCTGAGCTAGTATATGGCACGACACTACGACTGCCAGGTGAGTTTGTTTCTCCCTCGAGCTTCCCACCAGCGGTAGATCACATCTCATACGTCAGCAGGCTTACAAACGCAATGCGTTCAGTTAAACCTGCTCCCCTCCGACCACAGTCCATTGATGTCTTCGTTCACCCCTGTTTAAAACTTCTTCACCCGTACTTGTTCGTCGTGACTCTGTGCGTCGCCCTCTAGAACCCCCGTATGACGGACCATTTAAAGTAATTACACGTACGGATAAATTCTTTGTTTTAGACAAAAAAGGCCGCGAAGACACCATCAGCGTTGACCGTCTGAAACCGGCGTACTTGTAAGGTAATCCTATTAGCCTAGAGCTAAACGTACCCCATAATCCACAAGTAATTGAATCTCCTTTAGTCTTCGAAGAACTCCCTAGCACGGCGAAAACCTCCGAAACTTTGGTCGAACACTATAAGAAAACGCGTTCTGGACGTCACGTTAGATTCCCAGAATACCTTCACACCTATTTCACATAACTGAGTGGTGCGTTCCACCCAACTAATTATTTCTCTTCAGACACATCAATATTTTTATGTAGCATCACTTAACATATGTAAACGATTTTTTTTCCTATAATCGTACATTAAAAATGCACTTGGAAAAAAATTAAATTAGATGTATATTGTTTCCCGATATTTTGAACTTAACATTATTTTACTGTATAGTAGATGCGCGTCATATTTTTTTTGGTAAGAAAACGCTTATTTGGTACATTTTCCTTGACAAGATTCTTAGCATTCTTGTTTTCTTTTCCATGTGCAACGGAAACTGGATAAGAAACAAACTAAGCACGGGATCCAACGAACAACATCGAGGAAGCTATGTACAGACAACATATTAGCATAGGCAGACAGACCAGCAGGCCCTCCATCAAGCCGCTCGGAAGATTTTTTTCACCCATAAGGGAACCATCGAGATTATTTTACTTCCGGCTGGTCATGTCATAGGGTCCTCACAAACCCACTAGGGGGGGAGTGAGCTGTAGCGGTAAATAATTCCCCAAAATTATCAACCACAGCAATCATCACTCAACATTGGATGCTGACCCTCACTGTTTGAGTCGACTTGTTTAGCTGTAGGTTTCCGGTCAAGCATCCCCGCCATTTGGTACTCCATCGTGTCACGTGCGTGCACGATTACTAGCTAGCAAAGCATTCACTTCTACCCGCGATTTGGTCCCGAAATATACTTCGTACTTTGGACGACAAAATCTGGTCTTTTGTTTTATCTTTGGTACTCGAAGAACGAACACTACAGAAGTTGTTGGTATAAGATCTTGCATTAGTACAATCCGTACAACTCGCGAACGTCGATACCTACAACCCCTAATCTTGGTTACTCATCTCAGCCTTCCAAATCCCCTAGACTTGAAAAGATACTTTAATGTAAATCTTGCAACAGTGCCCAAGAGTTGCCAATGACATGCCTTCGACAACAGAGCAGATAAGTTGCTGTCAATTTCCATCACATCAATACCTAAGACCTCGAGGATGAAAAGAACCACAAAACAGTCATTGAAAGGCCAGTCTTTCAACTTTGCAGGGCTGCCACCTCCTAGATCTTTTCTGATGAAGCAAATGAAACGTCTCAGTGACGACTTTCAAACTTCAGGAATCCACAAGGATATACAAAAAGAGAAATATTTTTCACCTGAGGGACACCCCGAAAACCAGGTAGACTTCACCTCAATCTCAAAAATGTGCATACTCACTCTGCTAAACATAAGTTTGAGAAGGGGTCAGGTGAGGACACACACAATTATTTGGTGGGAGCAAACTTCGAAATCAAGCTGAAAGCCTCCCAAAACAACTGGAGACAGATCATGATTCAATTCCAGCACTCAGAAACTGAAGGAAGAAACTATAGAGGATACCTTCACTTCAGATATCAGAGCAAAGTCGGAGACATTACGTGGTATCACTGAGGAAGGTTGCGTGGAAGACCACTGGAACTCTGAAAGTGATGTTCAGAGAAACGTGTACAACTGTTCTAGGAAGGGCAAGGCTGTCAACGGTCACCTGGAACTTAACAAAGGGGAGTAAAGTAGTGAAGCAGAAGATGACCCAACACATAGATGGACAACAGAAGCAGAAGCTG